CCTCCACAGTAACAGATACGAGGATGAGACGTTGTTTGTGGCATTTCAATAAACAAATCCCTGTCGTTTGCCTGAGCACGAGTTCGCTCTGCAGCTGTAATGAGCATTCGGATTTTCTTATTTATGAGAAGCTGACTCAGTTGTGCCAGAAAGCTGTGAGCTCTTTAACCAAATCAGACCTTAAATTAGATTCACAATTAACTTTGTTTTGCCACCAAACACAATTTAATGTCAAAATAAGTCAAGAGAGCAAAGGGCTGAGATGTGTGGAGGACGGTTATTTCTGCTGGATGTTTACTTCCACTTTACCCTGACTAATGAGATCTCAAAATAACTAAGCACACCAGAAGTGCTGGAGAGCGAATGTGTTGCTGCACAGCTGCTAGGTCACCTAGTTACCAGAACCTGAAGGCAAAGACAGGAGCGGATGTAGAGAAATATTCCTGGGTCGCCGGAGGGTGGCATCTAAGTGTGGTCTAGTGGAAACAAAAGCAATTGGACGCAAATGCACAACACAATACGGGATCTTGATACAAAAAATACAAAGTGTTTACAAAGAATGGGTTCAATACACAGAAGGTCAGTTCACACACGCAGATAAATCCAGTGAAAAAAAAGGAAGTAATCCAAAAACAAGGGTAATACACGACGCGATGGAAAAAGGCTGGAACGATTGACCGCGGAGGAACAAAGACGAACTGGCACAGAATAAAAGACACATGAACAAGAAGCTTATTCGAGATACACAGAATCAATCACCGTTGATCGACGTGCAATGCTCTGACGTTGTGCACACATGGGCAACGATAGCCTCACAAGATTGAGGCAGCCGCAGTTTTTGGAGCCAGATGCTTTTCACTGACTGTAAGACCCCAGAGCATGATGGGAAACCCCTCCCTTGCTACATTCACACTGTAGGGCTCAATGCTCAATTCTGATGCTACACATGTCAGCGTATGTGTATTTATTTTGTAGTTGTTGTGCAATCTGAGCCCACAAAATGATCGTCCATTGTTTTGATATTGCCGAGTCCCGCCTCCTCTGGCGCTGAATTGTGACGTCTGCCTCACTTCAATGACGTAAAAGTCAGATGAAATGCGACATGACTGTTCAGACTGAGGCCGCTTTGACAAACACCACATATATATCCGATTTAGGACCACATATGAAAGTGGCCTGGATTGGATTTGAAAAAATTGTGTTGTTCAGACTGTCATAAAAAAATCTGATATGGGCAAAAAAGGTTTTTTTTTGCCTGCAGTGTGAATGTAGCACCTGTCGCCTGATCAAAGAGCTGATTGGCTCTTTTGACAATAAACAACACGCTTTCCTAATTTTCTGTATGATTTTAATATTTAACTGTAAACTGTAGCTGTTCTGTGTCTCATATTGTGCACTGAAGGTTTAATCTGTTAACAAACAGATCTTGTGTGGTTGATGATAATAATAAAGTTTATTTATATATCTGAATGTGGTCTGCAAACAGGTAGCCTGAAGATGATTTATTTTCTGTGACTTCCTGTTTATACTTTGAAGGCTGCTGGTAACTGCAGCTTTTAGTCACCTCCTCCTCCTCCTCCTCCTCCTCCTCCCGCTGCTGCTGCTGCTGCTGACGCCTGAACTCGTCCACTTTCCAGGCGAGGCGCACTTCATCTCGAATGAGCGTGATATATAATCTAATGAAGGGGACTAATTAGACACAGGTGAACACAATCAAGGCCGGGCAAACCATCAAAATCAACGGGAAACACACAAGGGCAGGAGGGCAAGTTAACAAGAGAAGAGTTAAAATACTAAATAAAACAGGAAATAACCAACAAAACTTAAAACCACATTATTATTATAAGGGATGGCAGAGATATGAGTATTTAATTACAAACAATCAAAAGTATCAGTATTTGCATGGCTCCCAAATTAAGATATTTTAACTCACAAACCTTGTAAAATGATGCTTTCTCATGATCTCTCTTTTGAATAATGTATTTTTGTGTAATATAATGTTTTATGATGTATATTCACCTTTATAAAATAGATCAAACACACACTGGTTATGATCAGGTTTTTATGTCCTGAAGTTTTGATCCGTCTTATCCTTAGTTAGTAGTTTGTAATATTGTCGCTCATTGATAAAAATGAAATTGAGGTTTATGTGATTAGGATTATTTTGTTAATTTATGGCTTCCAAATGAAGTATGAAAGGAAACATTTGGCCACTGCTGCCTCAGAGGATCAAGAACCAAAGTCATCTGCATTTGCTGTTTTATTCTGGATCTGTTGGCTGATCGGGACAATCAGGCATTTTAACTTCCTCTGGGGTCGTTCACACATCGACGTCACCTGTGAGTCACTGAGGTCACATTGCAGTCATGTGAGAATTGTTCAGAGTTACAAGAATAAAAGGTGTGAATTGGTGTCATAGCGCCTGAGGACGAATGTCTCAGGACGGCTTTGTAAGTAGCTGATAAGTGCAGCCTCAGGATGCGATCTGGATGACACTCACACGACAAATCGGGTGCATCATTGTGCTTCCACAGCTTCAAAGGGAAGGAGGGCGAAGCTGTGTTTGAATTTCCGATTTAACTCACAGTTAGGTTGTATTCGTTGAGTGTTAAATTTGGAGCATGAAGCAAGTATTGATGCTGTAACTGCAGCTGCACAGTACATTATAACCACTTGGTACCGAAAGCACATGGCAAAGACACAATATGTATGCAAACACAAGACCAGAGCACACAAAGACAGATGAATTTCAACACTAACACAGATCCATATTCACTGACCGTGCTCTAATAACATGTGCATTAGTTTTTTGCAGTTGTAGTTATTTTAAGTTGCATAGTGTTGATTGAAGAGATGCAGGGCTGTTGAGAAGTGTCGAAATGACTCTCATAGGTGCGAATGTACTCGACATAAACACGCCGCAGTGTCGATTAGTTTTTAAAAAAGTCGCACAGTTAAATGATCGCAGAACATTTTCTTGCTGAGTGCGAAGTAAATTATACAGAAACAACACAGTACATTCTGTTTCCACATTATGCAAATCCGACTCATCAAACATAAATACACAAACATCACACATCTGCGCACACGCTCGCAGAGAATTATCGAGCAGTGAGACTTTGGGGGGTAAACACAGCGGGGAGTGTGTCAGAGAGCAGCGAGTCTCTAAGTCGCACTAACAGGTCGCTGTGGAGAGACAGGGGATGAAAACTGGCAGCCGACGACAGAATTAAGCTCTCGGACCGAACTGTTCACTGAGATATGAAGAGTTTAAGTCCAGACTGAAATATCCACCATTTGAAAACAGAATGCAGGCAGCAGTAAGAATAAATAGAGCTTTTTAAATAAAACTATTACATTTTAATTAAAGCCTTAAAAGGAAGTCTTGTGGAGTCCCAAGTGCATACGTGTTTTTGGCTCCAGAATAAAATTTGTAAATTCTGATAAACTGCCTCAGATGATGTCACTGGAGTCAGCGTCAAATGAAAAACAAAATGACAATGTGGATTTTAAGAGAAGAGAGCTTATCCCACATCTGCC